CTGCTTGGAAAAGAATTCCTTCATTTCAGTCAATTACACACAAAACGTGCACTGAAATGATTTATGCATTTTTATATACTTAATCGCATACAATATGAAGTTAATTTCATCTAGCTAGTGAAACCGGCAAGATGAAATAGGTGGTATACGTCTTAATTAAATGTATTAAATTGCTTAGCTAATTAATGTAGGGTCTTTATTTGCAAAGTAGTTGTTTCAACAAAGTTTGCGAGTAAGTGGGTAGTTGGTGTGTGTGTTTGTATTTATTTACAGGGTGTGGAGAAGGGTGGGTGGAGGCTGTCAGAAGATATGGACACACAACCTGTTGAACACAGAGGTAAAGAAGCAGGGATTAGTTCTCTCCCTCAACTAAGAGATTTCCTCTATGCATACAGATGGTGAGTGTATGAGTGTGTGTGTGTTTCTTGACTGACTTCGTCACAGTACCTATTGAGTCAGCTCTCTGAGTCATCCGTTTCAAGGTTGCCTAGTGACAGCGGCGGGGAAATGTTTCCTAATGCGCATTCGCTGATGCTTGGTACCAATATTTATTCAAGCACTGCAGTACGAGGGCCAGAAAAAAATAATTGATGCATTTCACATGATTGCATGGATGTTCGGCCGGGCCAACCATAAAAAATGTTTACCTGCAGATTCTGAAGTTTCCTTGTTTTTCATGCTTCCCGAATCAACTTCCTAATAAAACTGAAATATGGTGGGATTCGGTTACTCTGAATCAGTGTTTCCGAAGCTTTCTTGTTTTACGCACCCCCCTAGCCTATCATGTAAACTTTCATGGACACCAATGCAGAAATGTACTTCTTTTGACTCACATTAAGCTGGACATCATTCAGCATTTTTGTTAATAGTATTAATATGGCCTCTTTTTAAGTTTTATTTTTAATGGATTATTTTGGCCAGAACCAACCAATTTAAAGATAAAATGTTATAATGATGGATGTTGTTTCAAACATGTAGCTTTTCACCTCACAAGATGTTAATTGAAGGACTGGAGTCGTGTAGATTACTTGTGGATTACTGTGATGCTTTTATCAGCTGTTTGAACTCTCATTGAACTTTCTCATTCTCATTCCATTCACTGCAGAGGATCCATTGGTGAGCAAGTGATGTAATGCTAAATTTCTAAATGTGTTCAGACGAAGAAACAAACTGAACCAACAGTTTAAACATAAAATGTTATAATGATAGATGTTGCTTCAAACATGTAGCTTTTCACCTCACACAGTGGATTACTGTGATGCTTTTATCAGCTGTTTAGTCTCTCATTCTGACGGCACCCATTCACTGAAGAATATTGATTGGTGAGCAATTGATGTAATGCTAAATTTCTAAATGTGTTCAGATGGAGAAACAAACTCATCTACATCTTGGATGGCCCGAGGGTGAGAATTTTTTTTCAAGCAAAATGTAATTTTTGGGTGAACTATTCCTTTATGGTTAGGAATATTTGCTGAAAGCGTTTGATGTTTCACCCTGTGCATTGAGGCATCATTTAGCCTCACAGCTAAAATAAGACACATTTTAATTTGCCCTCATTGGTCTTTTCTGGAGGACATGATGCTCCTCCTACAGGCTGGCACACTTCTCTCATGAAAGATGTCATTATCAGTGAAAATGAATCGAGTTAATATAACCTCATACATCTCAGATATGCATTTGAATGCTGATGTTTAAGACAAAAACAAAGTTGAAACCAGCACACAAGCCAACAGAACTTTAAGAAAATTGTGTAAAGCCTGTTTGGTTCCAATAGTGTGTTGAATGATATCTCATGAAGTGGTTTTACAGGTTTCCTGTGAAAAGAAGTGTCATAACAAAAGATCTAGTGTTGCTAGACAAATATTTACCGCTACCAAGTAATGCACAGAGGGTAGTGTGTGAGCTGCAAGACAATATTTCCTGTTTTCACACAAGTTGGCTGTTTTAACAAGAAAACAGCCAACTCTAAAAAGCAGGTGGACCTACTGCACATATTCATGGCTTCTGAAGCTCCGAGGCATCCCCTTACAGCTGCAGGATTAGTTAGTGTTGACCTGCTTTTCCCTCAAAAGCAGAGAAATCCCTGTCACTTTTAAATTATAGTTTTCAATTTTCAGTTCAGTGGAAAGTCATTACTTTATCATTATTAATTATTAATTATGTATGGATTGCATAGTTTGCAAAATGCTAAATGGTTTATATTACAAGCCATTTTTGCAAGTGTATGATCTTCAACAGAAATATGAGATGGGCATGCATTTAAATAAATAAATAAAAAATACAAATAATTAAAAATAGTTTTTAATAGTATTATTATATTAAAAACTATTTTTTTTATTTTATTCTTTTTTATATTAAACTATTCAAATCATAATTTACACATATATTAATATAACAAATATAATAATATTAGTGTGTGTGTATATATATACAGTATATTTACATGGCAGATGTTTTCTGTGTGTGTATTATGAAGATGCATTTCCTTAGCATCTGTTCAAGCTATACTGATATAACAGGTTGTACTTTTACCCCTCTCGTCTGACAGGCCTTTGGGTCATGGAAAAACTGACATGTCCCCCTCTTTCCCCTTTGATGATGCTGCGTGAGTCAGGCTTTAATGCACTAGTCCCTGGCTGCTGTTTTGTCCTTTCAGATCACAGATGATGACATAAATGGCAGTATGACATCAATGAATGATGCATGAAAAATAACATCTATTTGCTCACATTACAGATCAGATTAACAAATCAAAAGTGTATAAGTACTAAAACTAGATAGTCTCTCTTTTTTTTTTTTTTTTAAATCATTATGTAATTTTGAGGAAGCAAAACAGAGAGTATTATTATCATAATGTTATTAGATGAAGCATGCCACATCATTTTGGAATAGTTCACACCAAAAATCTGTCATCATTTGCTGACCCTCATGTCGTTCCAAAATCATATGAGACAGGAGATGCAGGATGAATGTTCATGCTGCTCTTTTGACCATGTTAACTAAGCCTTTTTTTCTTCACATAATTATGTCATCACCCCAAAAGACTTGTAATATTTACCACACAAGTCATATTAATTCTATTATGTTGCTTTTGGCATTTTTGTAACTTTACAGCCCCAGGTTACCAATAATTGTCATATGAAAAAGAGCAACTTGAACATTCTGCTAAATATCTAATTTTGTGTTCCACAGTAGAAAAAAAAAACATCATATGGATTTGTAAACAAAATGAGCGGGAGTAAAAGACTGAACTATTATTTTAGGATGAACTGTCTCTTTAATTAGTCGTTTTCATATCTAACATCATATAACCCTTCAAATAAGCATTCATTCAGTGAAACAAATTACCTTTAACTTCATTCGAACACTGTTCTGTGTGAAGAAACATCAGGTGTGCAGAGCAGCGGAGAAAGGCTCAATGTTTAAACAGCTATTTTTGCATTTAGCCTTGAAGGCAGCCAGCTGTGAGCTTTGGGCCTTGATTAAGCCATGAAGCATTATATTTGTTTACTAATCAAAATAGTTTGTGTACATGGTCCCTTATCACCTTAAGTTCTAATCAAACAGGTTCTGACAACGTTTTCATTTGTCATTTACATCTCACAAGCTCCCCTCGCTGGAATGTAGCGCTTAGCATGGGGTTGCTAATGAGTGACTTATTTACTCAAGGGAAATTTGAGCAGGACTTTAAAGATACCTCCGTGTGGAGTATGCAAATCAAAAAGTTATCTTGAAATTTAACACGATGTTGAACAGTTGTAAACTATAAAAGGTGTGTTGTGCGTGAGGTGCAATTTATCAGTAGGCTACTACCAAGTGCTGATAAACTAAACTACTACAACTGTGAATACCTGGATGGATTTGCATGAATTAGTTGTGTTTGTACAGTTTTTATGACTGCTTGTGAGCATGATTTTGTATGAGGCTGTTTTCTGAGCTCTGTCTGTAACGCTTTGCTTACAGGCAGATTGTTATCAGTGTAAGTGCTGTATACCGGAGGTTCCACACTGAATAAACTGAGGGTTGGGATAGAAACTGTTTCCATAGTCTCAGCATTGAGACCGGAGCAGGGAGTAAGTCTTGCCCAGCCTGTGTCCAAACGCTGCTCGACCAAGGCCATCAGTGATGTGGGGGAGGGAACATTTGAGCTGATAGCTGCTGTGAGTTAAACAGGTGTGAAATGTACTTGTTCCCAGAAACTATGTGAAAATGTCCTGTTTGTCCAACACCACGTTACTTGTGCCTTAATATTATGTCAAATGTTATTAGTGTGCATCCATCACTTACTCAAAATTATGTTTGCAGTTGTGCTTTATGCGACGCTGCAAAGAAAGCTCAAATCACAATTTTAAGATTAGAATAAGAGACCTTATTAACGAAGGCACACTTAGAACAGGGTTGCCGTACTCAGGTACAAAATAAACATGTCTGTGTTTGATCTGTCTGATACCACAGTGTATGAAAAGGGTGGTTCTTTGCACACATATACACTTCTACAAATAAAGGATCCAGTAAGAAGCCTGATCCTATTGGAGAGGTTCAAAAGGTTCCACAAAGGACTTTTTATTTTCTTAAGTTTTTGTTCTTTAGACAACCATGAATCTGGTGCTTTAAAGCAGTGTCTCAAAATTCACTTCAGATTTATTTCTTTTATTTATTTATATATTTGTTAAAAATCGTATTAATCCTCGCAGCCCCACCAGTAAGACATTTTTTAATATATACAGTATATAATTGTAAGTCACTTCAAAACCTATATTAGACATGTTCTTTCCTCAAACAGGAAATGAGATTAATCACAACCACTTATTTTAATCTCTCTGCCAAATGCATAAATGTAATGCAAATGTAACAAAGTGAAAGCAGAATAAACTATTTTCCCCTGGTTTAAAAACATAGCTTTATTGAAGAATGCAGAAACCAATACAGTGATCAGAGCCTAATGTCAAAAAGTAAATGAATACAAGTCAGAAAGAGCTTTATTACCAAGTATGTTTACACACATAAGGAATTTGACTTGATGACAGGAGCTTCCAGTGCAGAAGAAAGTACGGACATAGTGCAACGAATGCATCACCATAAAGTAAAGCTCTGAAAAGTGCTTAAATGATATGTCTGCAAGGCCCATTTGAAATGCAAAGGACTAAGCAAATATTTCACTTGATAAAGTACCGTGGAAATAGTACAACCTACCAATTTAATCATCTGCATAAACCCACCCACTACCACGTCTGTATTTTTCTTTCTTGCCAAAATAAAACAATCTAAATAAACTTGCTCATGTTTATCAGTGGAAAGTCCCCACTAATGTAATGCAACAGTATGTGATTTGCATTGTCAACTCCGTCCACAGCTTTAAATCAAAAGCATTTAGAGTGCGCACTGCATATACCACCTGCAGCAGCAGCAGCAGCTGTATCACAGACCCAATATTATCATCATCTGAAAGCCTGAACAAAGTTTCAGATCGCTATTTCCGATGCTTGCGCCAGCTCATGGGTGACTCGAGACGAAACGGATCCCTCCTTTGATTGGCCACAAAAGCGCTACGTGGACATCGAGCAGCAACAGGTAGAGCGCGTGACCGTTATCATTTCATTCTGACTGTGGCTGTCAGGAAGATAACTCGTTATCGCTCTTCGCAAGCCTCTTATCGCGCACACATCACCACGAGTTTGGTGGACATTTATTTCAAGGTAAGCAAAACTTTGTTTCCCGACAGCAGAGATGATTGACAGCTTATAAGACAGAAGCGACAACGTGTAGAGACAATGTGCATTTTCGTTGTTCACTTGACTGTGTCAGCATCTGATTCATTATCCATAGTGGATATTTCAGTATTTTCTGACAAAGCCAAAGTTTTACACTTTTGAACGGATAACAGTTAAGCAGGGGTGAATGAGATGCTACTATAGTGTAACTAACTAGGGAAGGATAGGCCTATTACACACTATCTAGAAGAACTAACCAGTTAGTACAGGATGTTCAAACAAGCACTTGAGATGTACTTAATCCCTATATAACATACCATTTTTAGTATTCACTGTATTAAAGCCATTTGTATAGATATATGTGACCCTGGACCACAAAACCAGTTATAAGGGTCCATTTTTCGAAATTGAGATTTATACATAATTTGAAAGCTGAATACATAAGCTTTCCATTGACGATGTATGGTTTGTTAGGATAGAACAATATCTCGTCGAAATACAACTATCTGAAAATCTGGAATCTGAGGGTGCAAAAAAAAATCGAAATATTGAGAAAATCGCCTTTACAGCTGTCCAAATTAAGTCCTTAGCAATGCATATTACTAATCAGAAATTAAGTTTTGGTATATTTACGGTAGGAAATTTACAAAATATCTTCATGGAGCATGATCTTTACTTAATATCCTAATGATTTTAGGTAATTTTGACCCATACAATGTATTGTTAGCTACTGCTACAAATATACACGTGCTACTTATTTTGTGGTCCAGGGTCACATATAATGTTATTTTGCATGTTAACTCCAATCAAATGTGAATGATAATATCCTAGGGCCTACACCAGGGTGTGGGTGAGTCAAGTATGAAGTCCAAAGGAAAGGGGTCAAAGCGGGGCAGACAGTCTTGGGCAGAGCAGGACGACCCAGACTTTACGCTGGAAACAGAGCCAGGTTCCAGCGAGCAGGAGGGTTCAGAGGCATCCGTGAGGCTGGGAGGGACATGGAGAACATTGAGGGGCGAGAGACACGGCGGTTCCCGCGTGGGCACACGTCGCAGGAGGCAGCACGGCAGCGCTAAGGAACGCAACGTCCGCAGGCTGGAGAGTAACGAGAGAGAGAGGCAGAGGATGCACAAACTCAACAACGCCTTTCAGGCCCTACGGGAGGCCATTCCTCACGTCAAAACAGACAAGAAACTTTCCAAGATCGAGACTCTCACGCTGGCGAAGAACTACATCAAGGCCTTAACCACAATAATCCTGGGCATGTCGAACGCCTGCCTGCCTCACGTCGAGAGTGACATGGAGACTCACGCCTCCCGGCTCCTGCAGTGCTATCAGCAGCATCTACAGGAGGAGGGAGAGGAGGATCTGTCCAACTACCTGAGCCACATTCACAGCTTCAACCAGGGCAGCTAACACACGCTGCCACAGACTCAGTGAGCACTGTGTAAATACATGCATGATGATGAATACCAGCTCTGAAGACTAACAAAAGGGTCCATCTGAATAACCCTGAGTTTACAAACAGGCTCATTTATGTACAGAATATGCACAGATTATATTGCCCACAAACAATGTGGTACTTATTTGCCATCATCATTGTTAAATTACTAGCCACTAACTCTGGATTATGAAGGGACACATTTGCTGGTCATTAATGTAGTTCATCCAAAAAGGTCACAAAAGAAGATGCTTTGCTCATATAGTGAAAGTCAATGGGGTCCAAAACAACACTGGACCCCTGATTTTCATTGTATGGACAAACAAACAAACAAAAATCATCTTCGTTTGTGTTCCATGAAATAGTCATACAGGTTTGGAATGACATGAGGGTGAGTAAAATTATAATTTTTGGGTGAACTATCCCTTTAACAGGGTGAGTATTTCATATTAAAAATGCAAAGTTTTGGAGAAGATTTCATATTTATTGAGGACACATACCATGCACATATGACACTGAGAGGAGTTTACTGTACTCAAATAAGGACTCTTTACCCTGTTATTTGTCTATGTTTAATAATTTCAAACTATATTATCCTTTTCTTTTTCTAGTGGTTTCTCTCATGCCTGCATAACGTTCTTTATATGTACAGAAGCAACTATAATAATGCCCTATAGGATGTCACACAATTGATGCAGTTTCACATTAGGACCGTAAATTACGCATAAATATTCAAAATTTATACATCCACATGTACAATATAACTTAGCAGAAGAGGAATAAAACTAACTATTCATCCTAATAAAACCATTTGGAAAGATTTGTTATAAACACTGTTACTTTTTAAAATTTGTGCTGCCTTTAAATGGAATTAAATCACATATATATCTATGTATAAATGAAATATGCTGACATCCTGAGAAATGTTTCACAACATTGTCTTCACATTTTCAAGTGCAAAAGTAAATATTGCACTCTTTCATCAATGACAACAGCTAAATAAGTGTCTGAACATACACTACCATTCAAAACTTAAAGGCCGGTAAGATTTTTATTTATTTATTTTTTACTTTTTTTGGTAGTATCTTATGCTCACCACTGCTTTTATCTGATCAAAAATAAAAACTGTAATATATCGCGAAAATTCTGTCATAATCATTCAGAACTCATTCAAATATGCTGATTTGTTGCACAAGTAACAATTTCTTATTATCAATGTTGAAAACAGTTAAGCTGTTTAATATTTTTGTAGTTTTTTTTTTTTTGCAGGATTCTGAATAAGAAGTTCAAAAGTACAGCATTTATTTTTGAAACCAAATTCTTTCACAATATAAAATCCTTTACTGTCATTTTAGTAAATTTTTTATATCCTTGCTGAATTAAAGTATTAATTTCTTTAAAAAAAATCTTACTGACCCGATTTTGGAACTATAGTGTATTTGTTCAGTACCACAGTGCTGTCTCAGCTTTGACTAAGAACATAACCAACAACCCAATACAAGCAGATGATGAAAGTATTACACTCTTTTATGCTTAAACCGATGTTTAGCGGCACTGCAGCCGAGCTGTAAAATTCCCAGAAGCAGGTGTTTGTTTAAAAATGTTGTTTGTGTGTGATGTTCAATATAAAATGCTTGTAGTGTACCTACAGTAGCTTACACTGTGACCTTTTGTATTTAATGCCCCTGAATTCAAATAAAAAAATTAAAAAAGCACACGGGCAATCGTGATTTTACCACAGACTAATAAATAAACATTAAATTAAGATCCTCTAAACAAAAGTACTATGTAAAGAACATAATGACAAATGATGGGAGTGTTAAAAAGGAGAGGGCATTACTGGAAGTGGCCTCAATATCCATGAGAGCCATCAAAAGGAGAAAACATCTTTCAAACTAACTAGAAAATGTGAATTCAGCTGAGGTACAAACAAAACCACAGAGTTGTCTGCATGTGCGGGAGCTCGAGTCGCACGATTTGTTAAGTGGGATTGAGTAATTCTGCTCTAAACAAGAGAAGCGCTACAGAAGGGAAGAAAACTTCTACATGGCTACAGTAGAGACGGTTAGCATAAAGAGCTCAGCTGTTTGACTAACAGCCCACTGGGTTCCCGTTCATCTCTGGCTGGTTACTGGTTTGCAGTGGCCGTGTTGCTGTCTGGTTGTCAGTCAGGGATGGCATCAGGATGCGAGGCGCCTCCATGGCATTTCCTCTGACTGTTATATGATCCCATCCGCCCTGAAAGAAACAGATGATTTCTTATTTTCTATCCATTCTGCACAGTACTGTTAGTGAGAAGTGAGCGTAAAGACAGTGCTCACCCCAATGCCATAGTCCCATGAGTGTCCTTTGGGTTCCATCGGCAGCAACCCCAGTCGGCGACACACAGTGCCACAGCTCAAACTGTGACTGCCCTGCACCTTATCCGCAATGATCCATACCTTAAGAAAAAACAAAAACAAATCTGGCATTAAGCAGAGCAGCAAACCTGCAGTAGTTAGACTGCAATAACTAGTTACAAGGAAATGGTCTAGACCTGGTCCAGAGGTCCCACAGACACCTTGCGCACATTATTGGAGATGTGCTCCCATGATGAGCCCTGAGGGTAACTGGGGGTCACACCATGTCTGTACCACAGATTACCTGCTCATACAAAACAATACATAGAATCAATGCTATAACAAATGGTCAATTTATATGTGACATATATATACAATTTATACATATATATATATATATACACAATAAAAATATGCTAACAAAAATACAATAAAAACAATATTATTAAAACAAACGTATATATTTTAAAATGTAATTCATGTAATGGCAAAATGGTATTTTAACAGTTTTCAAGTTTCAGAAATCATTCTAATATGCTGATTAAGTGTTCAAAAATATTTATTTTATTATCAGTTGTGAAAACAGTTGCACTGCCATTTTTTCAGGATAATTTGATGAAAGGAAGTTAAAAAGAACAGCATTTATTTTATATACTATATATATATATATATATATATGTGTGTGTGTGTGTGT